GTACTAACTAAATAAAGAATGTCCTTAGGAGATGCAAACTTCTGTTATTAAATTTAAAATTCCCTTTTATAGGTTAAATTATTTGTCGGATGTTTTAAAAAAAATATTTTGATTCATCAGAATCAAAATCTGAAAGAGTAGTTTTCAGTTAGGATTCTTATTTTTGTTTACAAAGGAAAATAAGCCTATGATGATGGATTTGGAAGGGATATGGTTATTTGAACATTTCACTAATTAATATTTCTATATCATCAATAGAAATATTATTAATTTGTAAGTATAATAATAATACTTTTTTGATACAATATTATACACTTATATTATATTCTTGTAATACCATTTTAAAGACTGTTTTCCTTAATATAAATAATTTATAATAGCTAAAAAGCTACTCTACTCCTTAGGATTTTAAATTTAATACGCCAACATTTACAGAAAAATTATCTACTAAAAAATGAGTTTTTAGCAGTTATTTTTAACATTAAAAGTAACAAAACAAAAATCASTATGATCACAAAATACTCCTTATGTAGTACAAAAATCTTGAACACTTCAAAAATATTCTCAATTAAGTAAATTTAAAAATTCCAAAAATCTGATTTTGAACAACTGCAAAATTTAAGAAGAAAGGAGATGATTATGTTTGGCGAATCACTCTGTAYTATACGAGTATAAGCTAAAGTGACGAAAACATATTTTTTGTAATTTAGCTGTTTAGTTCTTAAAAAAAAAAAAATACTAATATTCAGTACAATTTTGTTTAGTGTGCCCAAATTTATAAATTGTATATTTTTATTTTTCGTCATACATTTTTGGCACATCAGACGCATTATTGTCTGTAAGTAACGGATTTTAGTTTAAGCATGACAACTCTTTACAAATCTATACTACGCGTTGGCTTCTAAAAATGACTGATATCTCTTAACGTTTCTTAGCTATTACTCATTAGAGTTTATTTATCCTTGATTCGCACAGTAGCCAAAAACTGACGCATAATAATATTATTATTTTATGAAAAAAACACATCATCCACATAATTATACTTATGTGTGTATATATTTTGTTTTAAAATTTACCAGTTTGAGCATCAAAACAAAGAAATTGATAAGTGTATGATGTACAATTATTTTAATTTTGAACACTCATAATACTCACATGATATACATGCATGCCTAATTAAATAAAATCTCGTTATTTATTTCTTGATAAATTCGAAGAGACATTTTTATTGATTAACTAATTAATTTTTTTATTAATTTGAATTTATGAAGCATATATTTTGTGGTTGAGCCRGCCAGGCTTTCGATTCAACCAATCAAAATAGAGCCAGACATTAATCATGACGAGAAATCCAAAATAAATAAAATAGTGGCATCGGACAAATTAACGATAACATCAAATTTTACGACCAATTTAACATATATTACATRTTGTGTACAAACGATGATTATTATAAAAATACGATTTATAATAATTGCATGGTTTAGATAGGTACCACCACATACTCTACGCCGATATCAAAGGACAAAGATATAAAAACCAAACATTAAACTATTATATAGTGTTTGGTGAGAAGGTATGGTATTTCTATTATTTTAAATTAAACATCTATGACGGTTAAAATTCATATTATTATTATATGGTCGGCACGGTCGAATAGAGTAGGTAATGTGTTATGTAAATGACCAATATTTTTTTTAGCATTTCATTCATTATATTYATAAACAGATAGATAAAATTTTTTTTCCTGAACCGTTCATCTACTTTGATATGTAAYCTTCAAAGTCTAAAATAAATTTTTTTAAAGGTAATATAATGATACGGCTATACAGCTTTTTACAACAGAAAAATGTATACGTTTGATTCAAATTCACTGTCCAATATATAATATATATAACATAAGATAAATTTATAAATGTATACGCATATTTATTTAGATACATTTATTAAATTTGAAACGTGAACCCATTACTACCATGACTTCGATTAGGGCAGGGGTCGGGAACCTGCGGCTCCGGGGCCGCATGTGGCTCTTTAACTAGCWACCTGTGGCTCTTTGGATAATTATTAATATATCGATATCCGTAAAATATAAATTATATTATATTTGTATAAACAATAATAATAATAATATAAATATAATTAATAATGAATTAATGAAATAAAGTTTTCCATATTTTCTAAATTTAAGACGTATTATTATGTTTTTATTGCCTACTAAAAAAAGGTTGTTCAAACCTGCAGTGTGGCTTCTGGATACCATAGTTTTGTATTTTTTTGAAAAAATGGCTCTTTCCTACGAAAAGGTTCCCGACCCCTGTTGTATAC